AGGCCACGGTTACTATTCCCCCCCCCCGCCGGCAGCAGCAAAGCCGTCGCGAGATAACGCGCGTGAGGTAACACCCGGTTTTTTGTCCCCGACGCGCGCGGATGGATCTGCGTTGCGCTGCGAGAGAGGGCTGAGAAGTTTGGGCTGCCGCGAACTGAGTTGCAACGGTTCGTTGTGGAGCAGCAGGGTGCGGCAAGAGAAGCGCGCGAACAACAGCGTGCAGCCGAACGCGAGGACCGCGAGGAGCGCGAACGACAGCTTGCAGCCGAACGCGAGGAGCGCGAACGACAGCGTGCAGCTGAACGCGAGGAACGCGAGAGGCAAAAGGAACATGACAGCCACTTACTAGAGATGGCGAAAATTAAAGTGGAGAAGGGCGACTCTGGGAGCCAGGCGGACGGCGAGGTCGATCATGAGTCCTGCGGGCTACTTGGCGAAGAGGGGACAAAGTTTACCTCCCTTTGACGACGCGTAAAGATGACATGGATGCCTACTTGTTACGGTTCGAAGAGTACGCTGCGATGCAGGGTGGCAAGAGAAGAGTTACGCCACGTACCTGAGTGCGCTCCTACAAGGCAGGGCCCTGGACGTGTACTCCCGCCTGCCACAAGGCGAAGCCAGCGACTACGGCATCCTGAAGGCTGCACTGTTGAAGCGATTTAGGCTAACAGAAGAGGGTTTCAAAAACAAGTTTTTCGGAGGGAAGATTGAGCAGAGCGAAACCCTGCCGAGTTCGCAGCAGATAGAGACTACCTAATGAGGTGGATTACCCTGTCGAACATTGAGAACACTTTCGAGGGCCTCAAATGCCTGATGCTAAAGGAGCAGTTCACGTCAGGGTGCTCAAAGGAACTGGCAGCCTTCCTCCGAGAGAAGGCACCAGCGAGTATGGAGGAGACGGTACGGTCGGCTGAGCGATACGCCGACGCACACGGGCTGGCTGCCGTCAGAAGACAAGTGGCGGGTGAGACAACAGGCACAGGTGGGCGGTTGGGCGGAAGCGGACCTGGTGCCCCAAGAAGGGCGGTAACGTTCCGATCCGAAGATGGTTGGGCACGCCGCCAATCGACGAGCGACCGCACTTGTTACTTGTGCGGAAGGCGGGGTCACTTTGCCCGCAACTGCAGCGGGAGCAGCCGCCCCGTCGTGAAGTCGGCAAGCATGGTGACATGGGCCAAAGAGCGGGCAGACCGATGGGGCAACAGCAATCCCGGGTTGGCAAAGCCCACGGCAAGGGGAGCCAAGGGGCAAAAGGAAGCTACCGCAGGAGCCCGCGACGAGAGCCACGTGTGCGGTAGAAGCTGCAACTGTGCGCTGCGAGGTAGAGGTGATAGTAGTCGTCACCGGATGTGGGACAGGAAAACCGGGGACTTGCCAGTGGAGTGGGGGCTCGTGGGGACAAAGAGTACAAGTACTGCGGGACACAGGCTGCTCAGGCGTGGTTGTCCGGAGGGGGCTAGTGAGAGAAGAGGGTTGACGGGCAAGACTCGGAAGTAATATGATGATGGACCGCACCATCAGGAAAGCCCCGTTAGCTAGGGTCTATATAAAGACACCATTCCTCACAGGTGAGGTGGAGGCGCTGTGTGTAGACAGGCCGATATATGACGTGGTCATCGGAAACGTGGATGGTGCCACGTTGGTAGCTGGAGCACGAATGGAGACCCTCGCAGTGCTCACGAGGGCCCAACAAAAGGCACGCGGCAAGCCCCTGACCGGGCTGAAGGTCTCCCCGGTGAGTGGTAGCAGTGTAACGGCTGAGGAGTTCAGGCAACTCCAAGTCAATGAGAAGACAGAGGAGACTGTTGCAGAGGTTGAACCAGTAAACCTGCTGGATGGGGGCGGTGAGGAAGTTAGTTTGGATTCACCGGCACAAGAAGCTGGTAAAGAAGAGCCGGCTGGTGCTGCAAACATTGGCACCGAGCCGGTGGATCCAGTACAGCAGAAGCTACCACCGTCAAAGCGCCTGCATCAACTAACGGCAAGATGAAGTATCGATCACCAAAGGATGAGATTGAGAAAGAAGACAGTGAAGATCTGTTTATCGTGATAAAGGTTTCTCAGCCACAAAAAGTTGGTGATGGGATAGGCTCTTACGTGACATACAAGATGGATGAGGCTGATGAGTGGTTTGAAGAGAAACAGCGGCAGCTGGAGAATCTAGACAACCAGCTGAGGAAGCTTCACGCGAGTGTAGAGGCACTGCTGCATCACCGCAAGCAGCTGAGTGTACAGGTTCCGGATACAGGCGATACCCGAAGCAGAAAACGTTGGGGCGACTTCTTGAGCCGACACGTACTGGGCGAGAAAGAAGCGAACGCATAAGAACAGGAACTGGCTAACCGGTTCCTATGTGTTGAAAGCGGTGTCTGCGTCCCCGCTTAATTAAGGGGCGGACGCATTGTCACGGTTAGCCGGTTCCCGTCGACCGGCTCGAACCACACAGCTAGGCTGTGCACCTGGCCAGCTGCGGCACGCGCGCGAGGCGCAGTACCGTGCGAGAGAGCAAGCGGAAGGATAGTAGAGCCGCGTAGCAAAAGCGTGAACGAAGCAGGCAGTACAGTAGAGCCACGCAGCCAGAAGCCGTGCGTTGAGAGAGGACGTGTGTCGTCCAGCGCTGTGCGTGAGAGAGGACGTGTGTCGTCCCAGCCGTGCGTGAGAGAAGACGTGTATCGTCCAGCCGTGCGTGAGAGAAGACGTGTTCGTCCCAGCCGTGCGTGAGAGGAGACGTGTGTCGTTCCAGCCGTGCGTGAGAGAGGACGTGTGTCGCTCCCAGCAGCGTGCGTGAGAGAGGACGTGTTGTCGTCCAGCCGTGCGTGAGAGAGGACGTGTATCGTCCCAGCCGGGCGTGAGAGAGGACGTGTATTCGTCCAGCCGTGCGTGAGAGGACGTGTGTCGTCCAGAAGAAGAAGAAGAAGAAGAAGAAGAAGAAGAAGAAAGAAGAAGAAGAAGAAGCAGAAGAGGAAGACGGAGTAGGAGAAGAAGTAGACGAAGCCGAGGAAGAAGAAGAAGAAGAAGAAGAAGAAGAAGAGAGAAGGAGAGGAAGAGGGAAGGGCAGAGAGAGGCGAGCGCCGTGCACATATATGTTAGTTGGTTTATTATCGTGTGTACTAGTTGTACCCGACTTGTCATTGCGTATATATGTATGTGCACGCGAGTATTGAGTTCGTTTTATTATTATAATTTTTGTAACAGTACGCGTAGCGGTGTGCGCGCGCTGAGCGTATAATTTTGTGACAATACATGCTAGCGCCTTGAAATCACCCCATGCGTTTCCCTGGTTTCTTTTCTGCGCGTGGCAGCCGCGCGCGCGTGATTACACAAAACGTGCATGCACAACTACACGTTGACAGCCATGTGGTTGCCTAAGTCACGGATTGTACAGAGGGTGTCAAGATATGCACCTCGTGTTTGCCAGGACGGCTGACTGTTGGTGTCGTGGCCTGCTCTTGCTGCGACAGACATTCTCCATATGATGGAGCTTGTCACAGTGTCCACATATCTGTCCATAGGCGGTACACTGCGTCTTGCGGACACGAGCTGTGCGCTCCGTCCGTACCCCTTCTTACTGCAGTAGGCGCACACTTCCTGCGTCTCCTTGAGATGTGTGTGTCTGGTTTTCCGATAGGAGCTACTGGCTGCTTCCACCGCGTGTGAGTCCAGGAGGGAGGAGGCAGAGCGCTTCCCGGCCTCTTTTGCCTCAATAAACTGGAAGACATCTTCTAAGCCCATGTCCTGGTTCTTGTCTCCTAAAAGATCAAGCTGGATTTAGAGTTAGCAATTCCTTGGTAAGCACATCCCGCATTATTGCGTCGGTGTAGTTGACATCGGCAGCGCAGGCAATGCATTCAATAATGAACTTGCAGATGTCTGCTTGACCCCGCAGACGGGCTCCGAAGCTGCGAACTGTCTCATCTCTGTCTTGACGCATGTTGTGGAGTGTCACCCGAGCAACCATTGTGTTCTCTTCGCGCACGGCAAGCTTTTTGATAGATGACAGTACCTCATCCTCAGTTTTAATTGTTGGTGAGGCTGCCACTAGCAGCTCTTGCGAGATCCTTGCGTAGAGGTTCATCGCAGCATTCCAGGAGCTGTGCAACCTTGTCCTTCCCGGTGATCTTGGTGGCATCAGCGTAGTCAGACCACCGTGACTTGAAGTACGCCCATTCCTCGCTAGTGCCAGCAGCAGCAATCGTTGGTCTCTTGACCTTCTCGACCCTGGCAGCTTGTCCATAGGTGTGAATTGCGCAGTGAGGAGTGCGGCAACGATAGCAGCGTTGAGGTCGGCCGTCTTGTAGTCGCAGCCGGGCATTGGGCAGTTAACAGCAGGCATCTTGGTAGGTCTACCGTGATCATAAATAAGAACCCTGTCTCTTTGTTAAGTCCGCTGTCTTGGAATTAGTTGCGGTCAACAATGATCACGGTCTGTACATGGAACAAAAGAATGGGTACATAGTATCAGTTACAATCCTCTAACAACGTCATATTACGTTTATTTCGTCTAACTGGTCAACAACTCTACAATCATACCTATATACGTGTAATATTGTGTTTTAGATTCTTCGTTACAGTAATTTGACTGGAATATTTTATTGTTTTTATTTGCACGGTATACGAAAACCAAAATGGCGATCATTTAGGCGTAGCACCATCTCTCGTCAAGATTTCAGACTTTCAGATCTGAAACGTTTATTTTCGCATCAAAACTTATGCATATATCATTATCAAGAGTATATAATGGGAGATATGCTATATAATGGGAGTTCTCCCATATATACTCTTGCTTTATATATCCCCCCTCCCTCTTCTATCACACCCAAGGTGAGCTACAGTGTCATTGACACTTTCATTTTATCTTGCAGCTATAATACAAGATAGGCAAGGTATCCATGTTTACTCCTTAACTTAATAATGAACTTTTGGATTTTAGGCTTAAAAATTTTAAATACTGAAAGTCATAAGCAATAAGTTCACAACCAAGTGCTGTGTCCTATTTGCAGTTCATGAAACCAGCAACTATGGTGGATACCACACAGAGAGTGAAATTTGAAGCAGGTAAGTGGGGTGTGTCTCCAGAAATGAGAGCACTGTTTCTCACTTCCTGAAAGGTTTTCGTGTACACTTTGTGGCTGACAGCATAGCCGACACGATAACCAATTATTAAACATTTAATTAAGAAACCCAATTTACAAAAATAGCTTTTTATCTATATATGTCATATTATGAATCATACCACTGTGATTAAAACTAGTAGTAAGACGTAGAGACTTCAACAGAAAATTGCAATCCAGTTTATTGTGTGGGTGCTTGAATACCTCAAGTTAACTATAACCCCTTAAATTTTACCAACTGCTTTATGATTATTGTATCCGAGCTTCTACGTTTAAGCAACAGCATTATAATTATGTAATTCTAGCTCCCACGTTCTATCGGCTATTTCCTATGGATGCTAAAATCTATAGGTCTGAAATCCTAGCTGCATCTGTGTTCCTTGATTCTGCCTCACTATCATAGCAACCTGCAGTGTAGCTGCACCTTTTCCCTGTTGTGTTCTCTCATGTCTAAGAAGATGTTGTGTTTACAGATACAAAGCTGACTCGCAGCCAGGCTGTAGGTGATGCGAGGCATAAAGTTGAGAAGGATGAGTACGGTAACACGTGAGTATTCCAGGCAGTATGAATTTGTCAGCCTTGATCTTCGTAACGAGTATAGGTTTCTGTTAAAAATTACAATTAAAAAAAACATTATTTGCAATATAGGTGAACGAATCACTCCAGCTGTCTTGCGTAAACTAAAAACAACTTGGCCGGAGGTTTTCTACATTGCACTTACTTAGCTACTAAGCCTGTGCATACTGGTTACATATATATTGTAGCGTTTTTGTATCTCCCGGCGACACCCGATGACGCCACCGGTCGAGACGTAATGTCTAGCAACAACCTTAGGTTTCTCACTCACCTGTTGTGCCCGGAGGCGTTAAAATGACCGTATCGTCGTCACCCTAACTCTGCTAGCCACTCGAGCGCCTCAGTGCTACTGCGCTCCCGCAATAACCCGCTCCACCGTCTTCCGGTTCCGGTGCGTCATATAGTTAGTCAACAATGCGAGACGAGTAACGACACGCACACACAACCACGGGGTAAGCCCACCTTTGCCTGCTGGCCTTACATTACGTTGAATAACAGGTGTATTCCCAGGGTAAGCACAGAGGTTAAACAAATAGAATGAACTATGAACGCAGCCGGGCAAAGGGCTAAAATAACCGGCAGCCTCTCCCCCGTGCGGCCGTGCACGAATATAGGTCAGCTTTCCTCCTTTTCGTGACGAGTTAATACTTCTCGATACTGTAAGGAATATTAAACCAACCTATTTAATATTCTAGTACTAGTACTGTATTATTTACTCGCCCCACAACAACAGGACAATACGACAGTGCCTACTCACCCATTAACCGACGCGCCTGTTTCTTTCACCCGTGAGGCAAGCCAACGTCAAACACCGGTCACCGTACAGTTACTCTACCCCGGGTACTCGCACGCTAACCGTCACCATACCCGCCACGCACAGCTCGACAAGCCTCTCCACTTCATGCACACTCACGGAGTGGACGAGACTACATACTACCTGCAAGTCCTCCCTCATTCGATTCCCGAGACGAACTGCAATACAAGTCCTTCCTCAATCAAGACCAGAGCCGAACTACGAGTCCTCCCTCACTCGACTCCGGACATGAACTAACTGCGTACCGTATCTTCACACGGCCCTACCCTAGCTGTTCACACGGCCCTACCCTAGCTGTTCACACGGCCCTACCCTAGCTGTTCACACGGCCCTACCCTAGCTGTTCACACGGCCCGCGCCACTCACGGCTGCTAGAGGGGGACTACCGCACACAACATGGCGGCCCCCATGTAGGGACTCGTCTATCCACCTCGTTAATTGATGAGCCGGCAAAACACCACGAAAACGCACAATAATAGACAGCGGACATCACAAATAATTATACAGTCGCAAACACGGAGCATTAACCCACACTCCGGTTCCCAGGGAGCCACCCTGCTGGGAACCCGAAGGTTCGGTGCCACTGCTACACTCCTTCCCCTTTAAGATCAACCGTCAGGACGATTCCAAAAACATACCTAGCGGTGCACCGGCACCCGACGCGGAGGAGACCAGCTGGATCTATCTCGGTGCTGGCTTGTCCCTCCTCCGCGCCTTCCTCGCCGATCGCCGCCACTGCCTGCCTGAGCGTCGCTGCACGTGCGGCGGCGCTTCTCACTGGGGCATGAGGTGGGGTTGTGAGCCCTACTGCGCTTGTGCCCGGGCGGTCTCGGCAACTGCAGCGCGCTTCTCTCGGGACGCCGACTCGGCCCCCGCCACTGGGGTCGCCATCGCTGTCAGGGGAACAATAGCAGCTCGTCCACGAAGGGCATCTCCGCTCACCCATCGCCGAGCCCCATCGCCTCCGGATTCTCCTCGCCGAGCAGATCCTCCTCCCAAATCTGCTTCTCTGGCGCAGCTCCTCCCTCAGGCAGCGTCTCCTTCGTTCTCCTGAAATGAGCAACTCACACGTATATTTCGGTAATCAAACAGGCCTTCCCCTACCAGTCTGAAATACGTCGGAGTTTACAAATCACACCCTCGACCATCACGTGATGCGGATTCCGGAGTTACCAAAGATAATTCCGGAATCCGTCTCAAACTCCGACACTAATGGGGAACAAACCCCAAATTCGTTCCGATCAAGGGTAACAATTCTGAATGCCCGTGGATGAGTAGCGCGGTACCAGTCAGCTAGAGAACACACGTGACGCAACTACCTCGGGTGCTCCCTAACAGATGCCCGAATCAGTGTGGTGTAACATTCCACAGACCGTAGTGGGGTTGTCGCTTGGCCTACCGACACGGGTCCGTAGCAGTATGGAACCCGCACCCCGTCCCTACCCCGCAATATGGCCGGCCCCGTGGCCCCCATATCTGCGTTAGCCACGGATCAGGAACTCCGAAAGTCCCTACAAGTTCGTCCGAAACAAGCTACTGGCGAGAGACTGTCATCTTGGCCCCCCACGGAGCTCCTGATGCCCAGAGATGCACAGGACCATAGCGGAAAACCACACGTCTGAGAACTAGTCCACCCGCAGATTACACTGCTACCAAGCGCTCAAGCAAGGTGAGGTAGTATTATCAAAAACCACCCCGGAAGAGGGGAACTCACCGAATATATCGGCATCACCAGGCCTGACCCGCAGACCAAAATGCCGCAACCCGGGCGGAACAGACAGCATAGCCTCCCAAATTACTATGGCGAGCCCTGAAACACTCGGTCTGACAATAACCCTGAGAATAATCTACCAAAGACAGTCGTGACACACACGACATCCAGGGTTACCATACCGCACCAAGAACAACCATAGCACGACAACATTATCCGGGAACTACAGACCGCATGGAATCGTTACCAACCATGGCAAGAGAATAGACTGCCGCTAAACAGTCAACCCTCGGTCTGACAACCACAACTACGGGGACGCATAACCGTAGTGACACGGAGCTTTCACTATTCTCTCGCCCGGTGTACGTTGCACTGGGTTAGAGAACTCAAAACCACCCAACCGGTCCCTCGATTGCCCAGCTACCAGTGGACCTCCCCAGAACCAATCTGAGGGCCAACCACCTGCAGCAACTTTACCGCTTGTGTCTTGAGGCTAGAACGAGAAAATCCTGAGCCATCAAACCCGTCCGACTCTGTGTCAACCAATACCTGGGAATCCGTGCCGCGCGGATCATATGCGTTCTGACCCACCACGTTTCCCGGTCCACCAGACCTATCAACTACCTATGCGTCTACATCTCCAGCCCCATCTCCCAACCAGGAGATTGGCGCACTCGCACCTTTGTAGACATTCAGGTTATCTACGGTAACAACCCTCACAACATCATCTGGGGAAGCTTAAACCCACCAACCGTTATCTCGTCGCTCATTAACAACCTTGCCCCAGCAAAGAGACCAGACTCAATCAACTGCTGCAGAAGCCTCCTAATCGAGTAACAGCCTTACTCGAGAAGGGCTCCCCCTAACCATACCCACGCCAGATTACTGAGGAAAACCCATAATCCCTCAAAAAGTCTCCCATGAGGCGGTTAAACTAACCATACCTTCCTCTCACGACCTCCACATCGGGAAGGGGAACGCGAACACGGCGCTAACCCTTCCCCAGAGCTTGTGTGGCCCACCCTATCGGTGAGAGGGCAACCGGGCCACCCTCATGGTGCCTGAAACCTGCCATATTGTCCACTTGCCTTATTCGAGCAGAAAACGGGTCCACACAGACCCACCCAGAAACACGCATGGTGCGTGGGGCAGGGCAAACAGCCGAGCCACCGACGGCAACCATTCAGCGCATGCTGCTGCTGCTTCGTCGTCGAGCGGAGCAAACCATGCGACTGGCTTACGACGACGTGGGGAAGTCCTTACCAACCACCGCCTTTTATGTGGAGTAAGGGATGATGGCGGAGTCAAACTAACCTCCACCGGCCCCCTGCCGTATCTGTACACCGACCCCGTTAAAAATTAAGGTCAGGTGCAATTACCATGCCTAGATGTCGCCTCCCACGAGCGGCACCATTAGGCGGCATTGTACGCCGCCCTACCGTCAAGTGTCAACTAACAAAACCACTCTACGACTAATACGCAACCGGCAAACCACGGCACCAAATGCAACCACTGTTACAAAGAGTCTGCAACTGGCAAGACCAGTGTAGCTTAAGTTATACTGGTCACTGTCACGGCACCAGTGTAGCGTTTTCGTATCTCCATTAACCGACGCGCCTGTCTCTCTCCCCCATGAGGCAAGCCAACGTCAAACACCAATCATCGTACAGTACCTCTGCCCCGGGTACTCGCACGCTAACCGTCACCATACCCGCCACGCACAGCTCGACAAGCCTCTCCACTCCATGCACACTCACGGAGTGGACGAGACTACATACTACCTGCCGAGTTCTCTCTCATTCGATTCCCGAGATGAACTGCAATACAAGTTCTTCCTCAATCGAGACCAGAGCCGAACTACGAGTCCTCCCTCACTCGACTCCGGAGATGAACTAACTGCGTATCGTATCTTTATACGGCCCTACACTAGCTGTTCACACGGCCCTACCCTAGCTGTTCACACAGCCCGCGCCACTCACGGCCGCTAGAGGGGGGACTACCGCACACAACATGGCGGCCCCCATGTAGGGACTCGTCTATCTACCTCGTTAATTGATGAGCCGGCAAAACACCACGAAAACGCGCACAAATATTCAGCGGACATCACAAATAATTATACAGTCACAAACACGGAACATTAACCCACTCTCCGGTTTCCAGGGAGCCACCCTGCTAGGAACCCGAAGGTCCAGTGCCACCGCTACACTATTATAGCAGTTAGGAGTTCAAGGGGCGAGTTAAAGGTCAAGGTTCATTGTATTTAGGGGGCAGTTTCACTCTGTGTGTATGATATGATGCGAATATGCACAAGTATTTTAATGCGTGCCAGTCTGCGACTGATCATCGCTGACTGCCTTTGTCTCATACATACCTAAATTACTGCAGCACTAAACTGTGTCCCAACATTACTTCCATGCAGGGAGCTTCATTCGGTCATCTTGTCGAGGCGTCTGGATGAAGTGAAATCTGTTGTGAACAAGTTGCACCAGGTTAAAGACTTCGCTGCCGTCAACGCTCGAAACTGGTCGGCACAGGTGAGTTGAAATGATTGCGTCACCGTAAATAGTAAAAGTAAAAAGATTATGTCCACTTTTTCACGAAATTTAAGTGATTCTGTTTACTTTTTATTGTTAAATTGCTGCATTATACTTATTATTTTGCTATTCCGTTTGATGTGAACAAACATTCGTGACTCATACATAGCCCATAGCAAGGATTTAATGTTGTGATCAATATATCAAATCGCCCAGGTTTTTTTAGCTCCCCTTGACATCGTCAAGATGAGCTATTGCTATGGGGCGTCGTTCGTCGTACATCCGTGCGTCCGTCCGTCAACATTTGGCTACGGTCAACGATAACTTGAGAACCGTTTGACCCACATGTTTCAAATTGCATACAGTTGTTACTCCTATGGGAGAGATTTAAACATCATATTTTGGAGCACGCCAGTTGACCTACTTTCGAGCCACACCCACTTTTTGACAAAAATGGAAATGACCATAAGTCAGTTCAGGTTCAACGGATTTTGCTCATTTTTGGTATGTGAATGAATAACGACTGGTCCCAAAACATATCACACGGGTTTTGATATTTTTTTTAAATTATGCAAATTATGTAGATTTTGGCAATTTCACTATGCATATCAGTGTCTGCCTACGGTCAACGATAACTCAAGAACCGTTTGACCCACATGTTTCAAATTGCATACAGTTGTTACTCCTATGTGAGAGATTTATACGTACTATTTTGTAGCACGCCAGTCGACCTACTTTCGAGCCACGCCCACTGTTTGGCAAAAATGAAAATGGCCATCTAGATTCATTCGATTTTGTTAAATTTTGGTATGTGAATGTGTAAGGCTAGCCCCAAAACAGTTGTTACTCCTGTGGGAGAGATGACAGCGTCCTATTTTGGAGCACGCTAGTTGACCTACTTTTGAGTCATTCTAAACTGCGTGTTTGCTGCAGTTTTTGGGGGGGTTGCGATTTACGCATATATAATAATCAAGAGTATATAATTGGATATAAATGCTATATAGTGGGAGTTCTTCCATACATACTCTTGTTTTATATAATGTAGGTGGATAGTTGCTAAATTAAAAATGTCTTGTTGGCACTCGGCCATTTGTGTACTTTTTGTGGTGAACTGTAGTGTCATTGACACTTTCATTTGGATTTTTAACTAGTTGAGAAACAATCTTATAAGGTGAGAATTTGGGGATACATTTAGTGCCGTTAGTACTTACTTTTCATGTAAAAAAGAAATTGCAACAAATATTTTACAAATATACGCCATAGAAAATTCGTAACGTAGTCAATTTAAAGTCATAATAGGCCCATCGATTATGCAATTTTAACGAATGCTAGAGTAACTGGCACCTTGTGTAGTTAATAAGTACATTACCTTATAGCCAAACGCGTATTATAGAGCAGGCTTATTTAATTGCTCGTTAGATGGCGCGCAGGTCGATACAAATGGCCTCACTCTCGTTGTGAATTTGTCAGCATTGTCCCGCGTCCAATGCGTCAGAGACAAATGGTTATTCCTATCTAAGGAGTGTACAATATTATTATTATCTAGATATATATCTACATCAAGAGTAGATAATAACACACTTATGTGTTAGCACACATGTGTTATTATCTACTCTTGATGTAGATATATATCTAGATAATAATAATATCAGGAGTAAGATAATATAGGTCTTATATTAGACCTTATATATAGTCTTATATTAGTCTNATATGATGGATGGATGGGAGATGGATGGATGGTTGGATGGAAGATGGATGGGATGGCTGCAAAAGGATGATGGATGGATGGTATGCATAATCGACATGGATGGAAATGGTATGCATGGAATGGGATGAGTTATGGACATGGGAGTGGATGTCCATGATGGATGGAAATGATGGATGAATGGATAATTGGATAGATGGATGATGGATGGATGGATGGTAATGCGATGGATGGAGGGTCATGGAATGGATGGAATGGATGGTCATGGGCATGGATGGTATGGATGGATTGGTCTCATGGATGGATGGAGGAAAATGGAATGGATGGATTGGATGGATGGAATGGAATGGATGAGATGGATGGATGCGATGTATGGATGGAATGGGACGTGATGGCAAGGATAGGATGGATGGCGTGCAAGATGGCATGGATGGAATGCATGCATGCATGGATGGGAAAATGGATTGAATAGAGAATGAGTGAATTATGAATGGATGAATGAGATGAGCATGGATGGCTCCTAGAATGAGCGAATGGAATGAATGCTGCAAAGTTGGCAGGATGGCAGAGAGTGATTATGGATGGTATGGATGGCATGGTGGCAATGGAATGGATGAGATGCGATGCAATGAAACTCGATAGGCATGGCCGCCCACACCCACATGGCAATGGCATGCGTTGAGATGGGGCATGGCAATGGATGGCTCATGCCCCAATGGCCATAGGACCCCCAACCATTGAGCATGGGCGAATGGATGGATGCACCCATGGCCACCGCATGGCATGGAGCTGCTATGCGAATGCGTCTCACATGGCCAATAGGGACTATGGAGATGGATGCGCGATGCGCATGGATGGCATATTAAATGGACTGGCGAATCGCATGGATGGCAATGGGCAATGGATGGATGGAATAAGATAAGGATGATGGCCATAGACTAGATAGAGTGATATCTCACATATGATAATAGCATAGATAGATAATAATGGATATGAAAATGAGCCTGGCTGTGCCCCCCCCCCCACGCCGGCCAGTGTGGATGGCAATGGCTGCGAAGGATGGAATGGATAAGACTGCAAAAAATGGATGACCGAATGGATGATGCATGCGATGGGAATGCATGAAGATGGAAGTGGATGCCACATGGATGGCATGGATGGATGGATAGCATGCGCATGGAATGATGGATGGTCATGGATGGGCTATGAGCATTGAGATGGAAGCCTGAAGATGCGATGGATGGTGCAAGGATGGATGCATAGAATGGCAATGGATGGCATGGCATGGAATGGGATGGATGAATGAGATAATAGTGAGGTACTGATGGCAGAATGGAACTAGAAATAAGTAAGGATGGTATGGATGGCTGCAAGGAGATGGATGGCCATGGACATGGCCATGGCACCCGATGGAGATGGATGGTATGGAGAGGAGGATTAGATGTGCATGGATGAGAGTGGTACCATGAATGGAAATGGAATGGAATGATGGAACTGGTCAAATGATATGGGCCGATGGATGGATGGAGGAGCAATGGTCATGGTATGATGGATGGATGGATGAGAATGGTGATGGATGGCATGGCATGGATGGCATGGAATGGACATGGATGAATGGAATGAATAGGATGGCGTAGATGAGAATGAATGGATGAGATTGGCATGGATGGTTATGGCATTGGGCATGGTGGATCCGCGGATTGAGATACCATGGATTAGAATGCATGGTATGGATACATGGATGAAGTATGGTATGGACATGGCGCCAGTGAATGAATGAAGTGGGATGAGATAGCAATGGGATGAGAATAGGATGCGATGGGCATGGGAATGATGGACCGCACTGGAACATGGATGGCATGATGGATGAGAATGAATGAGATGGATGGACGGACGGCATGAGATGGCATGGATGGGGATGATGCGGTAGATGCATGGTTGGGAGGATTGGCACCCGCGCCGCGCGCTGCATGGATGGATGGATGGATGGGAGGGATGGTCATCGATGGAATGATAGGATAGACACTTAAATCGAAAGATAGATAGATTAGCATAGTAGATAGATAAAGTAGATGATAGATGATAGATAGATAGATATTGGATGAACACGAAGCGATGCGGGTGGTGATAGGATGCTGAACGAGGTATGGATGATGGCTGCAGGAGAGTATGCAATGTCATGGATGCATGGCTATTCATGGATGGAGAGGGATGGCGCATGGGAGGATAAGATGGGAATGGATGGAGACGAACGAACGAACGCGAACGGGCCGCACTGACGGAATTGACGGATACGGACAGGCAATGACAGCAGCAGGCAGGCAGACAGGCAGACAGATGCTCTGTGTGGATGACTGTTGTTTAGTAATATATATTATTCTGTTGTCCATCCATCTATCCATCCATCCATCCATCTATCCATCCATCCATCCATCTATTCACCCTCTCTCTTTCTTTCTCTCTCTCTCTCTCTCTCTCTCTCTTTCTCTCCCTCTCTGTATGACTGTATCACTCTGTCAAGTTCTCTCTGGCCTTGTCTCGTTCTATTTCTCTCTTTCTTTCTCTCTTTCTCTCTGTCGCCCCGTTTTAAAGATTTATCTACGCACACCCTTTCGTTTTATGCTCCACATGGGATTATATTCGGTATTGCTCTATATTGGTAATCCATCGCTTTATTTTTTTCGAATTTTTTGTATTACATCTTCTTTCCCAGGCCAGCGTAGACCATCCTTCTTGATTTTAGAAATTAAAAAAAGCAAGACGTGGAGTAATCATTCGTATGCCAATAAGCTCCTAGGAGGAAAAGTCTTCATCATATGTGAAGGAGCTGCATACCAGCTGACGTCTGAAGATGAGCAAACCACAGCAAAGATGGAGATCGAAACTCTACGCTCATCCCAAGAGGAAACACCCCTGCACAGCACTCATGTGTCTCAATGCATACACTAGATATGACACTACCAGTGCATTTAAAGGAATAGGAAAGATCAAGCCACTGAAAACTCTCCAGAAAACTCCAAAGTTTGCTGCTGTACTCTGCAGGTTGGGGGGAAATTTGGGACATAACCGAAGACCTCCTTGATGAACTGGAGGAATTCACGTGTGCCATATATGGTCGTGCTAGAGTGCACAAGGTTAATGAGCTGCGATACATTCGCATACAGGAGCTGTATGCCAAGGAAGACCAACCCCACCATTCAAAGAATGTGGACCTGGGATAACTTCCACCATGCAGAAAAAGTCTGGAGCAGCACATAAGACGTGTCAACTATGAGGTTAAAATCTGGAAGAGGGCCCACATTGCTGAACCAGATATTCCAGATGTGAAGGGTGACCATGGATGGGAGGTCAAGGATGGAAAGCTGGAGCCGCTGTGGTACACAGGAGATGTTCTGCCACAGCAGCTCATCAACATCGCTGTCGAACCACTGGAGTCTGACGACGATGTGGATTCAGATGACTCGGAAACGGTATACCAGCTGAGTGAGCTGACAGATGTGCTAGATCAGTTTAGTGGACAAAGCAGTGGTGAAAGCACAGACAGTGATCTGGATTGACAATATGTACCCGCGAATGACATGAACTCTGTGTTAGTTAGATATTTAGACACACAGAAACGGCAATTATTGTTGATATGACTGTTGATATTTGCACAGTTGTGATACACAGGATATGAACAATATAGTGTGTGGTCATTTAGCTCAATAGTGTGAATAAAACAGTTTTGAATCATGACTATGGTTGTTTGCTTTCTGGAAGAAATTTGACCAAACATAATGACCATAAATTCGACATAAATTCATTTTTTTCGGAAATGAATCTTTTCATAGTAGTTTGTTTTGTTAATAGATCTGTTTGTTATTCTATTGTGGTCATTTTGATACTTTGCTTGTTAAATTTGATCGAAAAATATCGATTTTATGATTTTTTTTACATTTTGGGTAAATTTGATCTTGATGACGTCATAACCGGAGGTTCGTCCCAACTTACGCAATGTTAACATTTATTTTCGTGATCAGGGCGTCATGGGGCTCCGGAAAAATATTGATTCGAAAGTTTGTGGGGGGGCACGGTGGACTCTCCTAGCTCCCGGACTATGTATATTGATGTAGATATTTATTATAATAATATTATTATACACTCCTGATATTACAATACCGTATTTACTCGTGTATCACCCGCACGTTTATGTACACAACCACAAATACAAAAATCAGGGGGTTGCGACTTATAGACGAGGCTGTACCCAGGGTCGTAGTAACCATTAGGCAATAGGAGACAAATGCCTCCTACAAAAAATTTTCTGGGGCCCTTAAGCGGGCCCCATACCCCACGCCCTATTGGCTCGCTTCGCTCCTTCTTCTTTAACTCACAACATTTGCCTCCTACAAAATTTACCTCTGGCTATGGCCCTGGCAGTACCAATGTTTGTACCAACTTTTCAAGGCACAATTTGGGGTGTGACTTACACATAAATACTACTTAAAGTTATACACGAGTAAATACATTAAATCAATCAATGCTGCCACGGCCAGGGAGCAAATTTTTTTTCTCCAGAAACAATCTGAGAACAAACGCCATTTGCAAATATTTCTTTTGGTTTATGATCGGTAGATAAGTACGTTTTCTGATGTATTTTCTATGAAAAACACACATTTTACTCATTAATATAAAATATAATATCACAATAATTACAATTCTTTGTGTAAATGGTTATTTTTACCATAAACTCAAGTTATGAGAGGGTCTGGGCTCACGTAATACTGCATACGTACGTATATGTACTCGTACTATAGAGTAGCCCTTCGCTCCGTCGCAGGCAGGAGGAAGGAGCGAAGAGCTATAGTACTAGAGCTACTCGTTGACGCTAGACTGAGCAAAAAGTAAAAAAACCTTTGTTATTAAACGACACGTATGTGTTAGTACATGTTTACATTTGAAAATACATGTACACAAAGAATTGCAATTATAGTGATATTATATTTTATTTTAATTAATGAGTAAAATGTGAGTTTTAAGTTTTTCATAAAAATACACCAGAAAACTTTTTTCTCAGTCTAGCGTCAACCTATTATATTTTATCTTAATTAATGAGTAAAATGTGTGTTTTAAGTATTTCAAAAAAATACACCAGAAAACTTTTTCGTCAGTCTGGCGTCAACGAGTACGAGTACGTATAGCTCTAGTACTATAGAGGGTTCCGCGATTTGGTCTAAAAATAGCAATATTACCTACAATCCCGTGCCGCCGGCCATACCAGTTACAAATAGAGCGAACACGCGTCGCGTGTAATGTGCCACTCCGCACAATCGGCCGATTTTACATTGGCTATAGTGTTATTATTGCAATAGATATTAGAAGTAAGAGGATCCCGATTTACCAGACAGGTTTATCAGCGTGGATTTTAGGTGCTGCAGTTCAATGAGGCTGCCACTCAGTCGGCAGATTCGTAGCTTGAGCAGATCGGAAGATTGCACGCAACACATATATGTTCATAGACTTGAGTTTGTTTACATCGTGAGAGTTCAGAAATTTCACAGATTTTACCGCATCTACTCTAGCTATCCATCGCAGCTTTTTATAATAGCTAGTGTATGCACGTTTGTCGACTGTCTGTAGTGTACGTAGTATCAGGAGTAGATAATAGGGGAAGGAGTGTGACTTCAATAAACAAGGGAAATTCGGGATCTTATATATATATAATATATATATATATGTAATTTATTATAAACATATATAAGTTATAGAACTCGACTACAACACTGGTAAGGAAGGTCCTGATGGGGCAGCCCTTGACACTAACGGTTGTCCGATTGCCCGGGACAAGTGAGTCTATGTCGGACAAGTTATTCTCTTGCCTAGTTGCCCGATCGGACAACTGTATAATTTTAGTCGTTTAATATTATTAACATCCTTTGAGCCATGGCGCTATCGTACCACGTTCTCACGTCAAACGTTTTCAAAGGTCACTGAGAAAAGCAGCACGCGACACCGACCGTTACATTACAGATTTATTCAGAGCGGCAGCGCGTACCTCGCTTGCCGCGAATTTTTTTTTCCTACACGTTATATCCATTGCAGAGTTTTGGGCTCCTCTGATTGGCTGCTTTGATTTGCTTTGACTCAATAAACCTTCAAAACAAGGGAACAAACGCCATTTGGAAATATGTGTTATGGTTTATGATCGGTAGATAAGTAAGTTTTCTGATGTATTTTCCATGAAAAACACATTTTACTCATTAATATAAAATATAATATCAGTGATCACTATAATTACAATTCTTTGTATAAATGTGTTATTTTCATCGTTAACGTTAAGTTATGAGAGAGTCTGCGCCATATGGTCTTGACTCTCGTAACATTTACTACATACGTACGTATATGTACTCGTACTATAGCAGTACGAGTACTTGTACTATACTACTCGTCGCAGCAGTAAGGAGCGAAGAGCTATAGTACTAGAGCTATACGTACTCGTACTCGTTGACGCTAGACTGAGAGAAAAGTTTCCTGGTGTATTTTTTTGAAAAACTTAAAACACACATTTTACTCATTAATTAAGATAAAATATAATATCACTATAATTGCAATTCTTTGTGTACATGTATTTTCAAATGTAAACTAGCGTACTAACACATACGTGTCGTTTAATAACAAAGGTTTGTTTACTTTTGCTCAGTCTAGCGTCAACGATAGCTCTAGTACTATATAGCTCTTCGCTCCTTCCTCCTGCATGCGCTGGAGCGAAGGGCTACTCTATAGTACGAGTACGTATACGTACGTATGCAGTATTACGAGAGCCTAGACCCTCTCATAACTTAAGATTATGATGAAAATAACACATTTACACAAAGAATTGTAATTATAGTAATATTATATTTTATATTAATGAGTAAAATGTGTTTTTCACAGAAAATACATCAGAAAACGTACTTATCTACCGATCATAAACAAAAAGAAATATTTGCAAATGGCGTTTGTTCTCAGATTGTTTTGAAGGTTTGTTGAGTCAAAGCAAATCAAAGCAGCCAATCAGAAGAGCCCAATGGATATAACGTGTACGAAAAAAAATTCGCTCCCTGGCTGGGGCAGCATTGATCGATGTACTGTATTTACTCGTGTATAACTTTTAAGTATTATTCATGTGTAAGTCACACCCCAAATTGTGCCTTGAAAACTTGGTACAAACATTGGTACAGCCAGGGCCAAGTGGCTTTCCCCTCTCACCAAGCTCTCCCCTCCTCCTTCTCCACCAGCCTTCTCCCCCTCCTCCTTCTCCACCAGTCTTTCTCCCCCTCCTTCTCCACCCGCTTCCCCCCTCCTCTTTCCCTCCACCAGCTTCTCCCGCTCGCTTGCAGTCTACAGCTACTCCCCCTCCTTCTCTACCAGCTTCTCCCTTCTTCCCTCTCCTCCTCACCAGCTTCTCCTTCTCCCCCTCCTCCTTCTCTACCAGCTTCTCCCTTCTCCCCCTCTCCTCCCTCCACCAGCTTTCCTTCTCCCCGCAACACAAAATGCAAAATTCCCCTGCCCGCGCCGCCTCTACTGTTGTTACCAACGGCACTTGGACAGACGTCAGTAAAAACTGAAATAAATATGAACACACATTCACTACATAGGCATACTATCCGTACCCTCGGCTTACAATTCCACATGCTTGCGACACTGCTATATCAACTTTCCTTCATAAAAACTATGTAAAAACTAACGCCGATCGAACGCTTCCCTCACTCCGCGGCGAGTGTTGCTGTGACGCTATGATAAATAATATAATTAGAGCTCATATCATATATTATCAGGAGCGTATAATTGACAGAATTATAATTTGTCATTAATACAATCGAACATTCATAATGTATAGTATACTATTTGCATTATGCGCTCCTGATATCTATTATATAGGTCACACGCACACTCGCCGCGTTGCCGACGTGTAGCGAGCGTTCGGCGTTACTGAGTATTCCTACATAGGGTCG